GTGCTAGACAGACACACACACAGACACACACGCGTCTTTACGTGTAAAATAATCTCGAGCGCGGTTTCAGTTTGAGATACGTGCGAGAGAGAGGCAGGGAGATGCGTCTGAGCTTGTTACTCTGGCTAAATTAGGTAATTTTTAGCTGGGTAATGTGCTAATCTTTAAACCTTGGTGTTTTTAAATCCCGTGTGTGTCTGATCGCTTCGTACAAAAGTGTATTTTGCTTGTTTCTTCTCGTCTTCTTCAGTCTGAAGCTTTATGTAGGTCAGGCTTGGCTTAAGCAGATTTCCTGAACCTGCGTCAGCTTAAGCTGAAGGAATTTTAATAAACCCTCCCTTGTAGGCGTGGGCCTAAATGAGACTAGCCTAGTTAAGCCTGATCTTTTTCCGTTTGTGAAAAAGAGCTGAGCAGAGCTAGGGACTGCATGGTGGCTTCAGAAACGGCTTCCTTAATTCTAAGATAACAATGGTCGGGAAGGCCAGATCTTCTAATTTTACCTTATCTGAAAAGCTCGATTTGCTAAAACTCGTGAAGCCGTACGTTAAAATTCTCGAGGAACATACCAATAAGCATTCTGTAATAGTGGAAAAAAACAAATGCTGGGATATCATAGCCGATAACTACAATGCCATCGGAGTAGATCGCCCTCCTCGTACTGCCCAGGGCCTGCGCACGCTCTACAAGAGGCTCAAAGAATATGCCAAACAGGAGCTATTGCAGCAAAGGGACACGCTCTCAGACTGTAAAAGCAGCATTTCCGAGCCAACCAAGAAAGTTGTGGAGATGATTCCACAGATTTCCAATGTGTGTTTAAGAGACAGGAGCGGTGTTCAAAGGTGAGACGATTCTTTCTTATTTTGTTACCGAATGAAAATTATGGCGCCTCCTATCTACCCTCTAACGCTTTGCTTGTGTTCAGGCTCCTAAAGGAAATGTTTGTCAGAGGCAATCCCCCAAATGGGGAGCAATGGCAAAATAATACTGCTTTTGTTTTATGGGAAGCTTTGTGGTGACTTAGCACTGCAGTCGTTTTGTTCAGCTCGCTCTCAAAGCCTGTTTCAGAGTCTTTGTCGTACTCTGGAAAGTGAGGGTTAAGAGGGAATCAAAGAGAAATGGTAGCTCCAACCTCTACCCCTCCCCTACCTTTTAATAGGCAGATTATTCAAACACTGGCAAAGTGATGGCTATTCTCCTCCATTTAAGGTAATACTGCAGTCATTTTGCAACATGTGGAACTATTACCGGTTTATATAGGATTTTTAATAAAGTTAGTTCACAGAGCTAAGAAACCTTATTCATACACCTTTTTCTCTCTTGTTTATTCTGATGTTTGCATGTTATGTTTTAACTGATCCCAGTCCTTAAAAGAAAAAAAAACAACCACTTACCACACCACAGTGCCTTTGTGAATGCAAATGTTTTTTTAAAATTATACTTTTCTTGCATTCACTGTGATTCCCTGAAACTGGGGCAAAACTAATTTCAGTCTAAACTCCAAGCAGTTCTGTATCACAGGCTAGGTAGTTTAAATACAAAGAGAAACTGAGAGGTATAGCACTAGAAGTTTTCTTTTTTTGTATTTTTCTTCTTTTTTTTTTTCATTGCTCAGTAAAGTGAGACACACTGTCTAGATTTGAGCCAGACATAATACAGGCAGGCAGCATGCAGGCTTTCTCCCACAGCTGGCTAATGCCCCTTATATCTGACTTGCAACACTCTGCTGGTTCTGTATTGGTCCTTGAGGGATCAAAAAATGCCTGGGTCAGGTTTTGGTTCCTCTGGATAAAAAAAAACAGGCTAAGGAGAAGGGGGAAAAAGGTCAAGTAACTCCCCAGCAACCTTGCGAAAGCTCTTATTTTTCTTATTTTCTCAGACAGCTTAATGGGAAAGCGAACTTTCCGTATTTCAGTCGGATAGTCGGTGCAGCAGCGTAACACTCTAAGAAAAGCTGGCATGCGCACACACGCTGAATTGGATTCATGGTGCCACTGGTTGAACTGAATGGTAACAATTGTCTAAATCCCAACGTGCCAGATGCTCTAAAAATACGCTGTTGTGGGTCCTTTGCGTAAAGAAGTCTGAAGCAACTGGGCTGTGCTGCTGCTCCTGGTGAATGCCCCTGGAGGAACGGTTCCAAAGAATTCTCTGGAACAAAACGAGGCTTTTAATTGCGCTAATAAAGGTTGCAGTGTCTTGACTACCAACTTTTGTAAGGAGGGGAAAAAAATAGTGTGAGAACTTTGGTTTGTAGATCGGATTATAAAAAGCACTGACGCTTTTCGTGAATGATTAAGAGCTAATGATCTCCACAGTTTGTCTCCTATAATTTAAACAGTTTTTGCAGTCCCTTATGGGTCTGGCAGCATTGACTTCATTACTGCTTACCCAAAATGGTTGTTCCTAGGAAGAGCCAGTACACTGAAGGAAAGGAATAGAGTTTAAAAGATTGTGGTTTTTTTTCTCTGCCCAAATACATTATTATTTGATAATTCTAATTTTAACCCTGAATTGCAGCGTACCCTAATTTTCAAAACCCTGTATTGGGTTTTAACTCGCCAGGATATGGCTGAGGCTTTGGAGGAGGGAAATACAACTTACAATGAATCCAAATGCTTAATCGCACCTTTAAGCAATTTCTAGCTCGTAGTGATTAAACAAACCCTGGTGAATCATGGGTGCCCGCAGGGTTGTAAACACCATCCCCCAACTGTGGTAACTCTTGTTTGTCTTTCTTTCAGTCAAGTTGTCAGAAACAACATTAGTAACCACCATACAGGCGGCTCTTTTGTTTCACAATGCCTTCTTTCTCTCTTTGCTCTCCAATTGTTCTCCTCTTAAGAGACTAACTCTAAGGAGGAAGAAAAACCCCAACAGGCTCCTCATCAGAGTTAGCTGAAGATTCGGTAATTTTCTGTGTGGGTTACACCTTAAGAGATGGGTTTTTCACTGTTTGGAGGCTCTAGCCTATGTTAGACTAGATCTTACCTATCTTTCTTCTCTTAACCTCTCACTTTCTCTTTCTGCCCTCTCTCTGTTTCCTTTTGTCAGAATGACCTGCTTCTCCTGCTAGTTGTTTCCACTTTTCTCAGGCTAGAAGCTGGCCAGGGGCCAGCAAATAAGAAGCAGGGAAGCTGTGTTAGAGGCTGTGGTTGTGGAGAGGAGGAAACCCAGAATTACAGTCAGCACTGGGGAAAACAAGTGAAAATTTGTGTGCAGGATCATACTTCCGATGCTCAATGAGAGGAGCTAAAGGAGTTTGAGAAAGAGGTATACAGGAAAAGGTGAAGCTTTGTGGCATGAGGAGGGAGGCAGTATGGTGATATAATGGCTACTCTGTAGGCAGCTCAGGTAACAGTGAATAGAATTAAGATTATCCTGGTATTTTCTTTGCAGAATAAATGAAAGGTCTGTTTTCAATACCTGCTTCAGATGCACCTTTTAAAAAAATATAGTTTGGGTGGTTAACAGGAGTAATTTTCGGAAAATATATTGCACTGACACTGTTGAGCATTTTTACGATTGCATATTGAAAAGTTTTCATGCCTTTATTCTATAAAATGCAATTTCATGTAGATGGAAGCGTTTTGAGTACCATGGGCGATGCAGAAGAGATGATCATGACACTTTTGATTAAGGAGTTAGTGCATTGACAGGAGAAGCAAGATGTACAAATTAAATTTCTCCTTTGCTTCCAGGAATTTGAACCCACGTCTGTCGCTCACCAGTACAGTTTTTTAGTAACTAACCAGGACAGTGTTTGTAGGGCTCACAAGGTGTTCCAAAAAGTGTAAACACCCTCCATCCCCCAATTTAGTAGACAGCAGCTCAAGTCCTCCAGGGCTGGGGAGCAGCTGTGGATGTTCCAGTGATCATGGATCCGCTCGCTGCCTTTAGCTGGTAGGAGCAGCTCAGTTCTTCAGGGGTTGGGGAGTGTCTCATATAACCACCAGGTATAGCGGCTGTTTTAGACAGTCATAGCCCTGATGGTGCACCATTTCTGGTATTGGTATCGGGTTAATATATTGCTGTTCCCATGTTATGTTATACTGCCTTCCCAGTCATGCTGAAAGTGTTCCTTGTGGATCTGTACTGTAAAACAGATAAAGAAGCTGATCTGTCTTAAAAAAACACATTACCTGAATAAAGAAGTGATGTGCAGCAGTGCAAGATTTCAAGCACAGCTGATGGTAGAGAAGTGGCAAGAACAGCTTGAGCCATTGTTGTTGTCAAAGCCAATGCAATGTCATGATTTGAGGTGCTGCTGACTCAGGGATTTACACAAAGGCAAATGAGTCAAGCGGGCGTTGTACTTCTGAAAACAAATGCGCAGAGCTGTAGGCTCTTCTTAGTGGAAAGGTTTCTGTGTCTTCTCTTGAAGCATCAGAAAAATACTGAGATCACCGATTCAAAGAGACACAATAAGGAGTAGCTTGATTCCCTGATCTACTGGCAGGGTCATCATTTGGGCTCTGGTTTCTTCTCCTAGAGGTCTTTCTGTAATTTTATTCAGTGATTGTCTTACATTAAAAAAATCCACAAATGCTTGGGTGCATGAGTCAGAAACAGGGAACCCATTAGAACAGGAGGAGATTAATAAGTTTGGGAGATGGAAATGTTTCTGCCACAGTCCACACAGTCTAAATTAATGCCCTTTTAAAATCACATTATATATTATATAAACTCTTTCCTCAGACACTCGCATGACTTGCTGCTGCTTTCTTTTTATTCTCATTTGTCACTAATAGCCCTTCTTGCTTCTCCAGTGTCAGAAGAAGGTTCTACCAGGATAGTTCTCTGATGGCTATTTTGCCTTTCTAGCGACAGAATCTGAATAAGATGGGGCCATATACGTGTGGTGGAAAGCAGAAGGGATACAGGTGGTGTTTGTGTCGCAAAGTAGAGTCTTGGCATAGATAACAGAGTAGTATTTCAAATGAAGCTTTAGTTACAGCTACGCCTTTTAAAAATAGTTTTTAATGGATTATTGAAATGTGATTTTGTGTGTTCTAGTGCTAGTGTCAATAAAGAAACAGTTGCTGGTACCAGTTCACCACAGACAATGTTGGATCACCATCCTGCGGCAGTCATGATGGAGCTGCAATTGGAAGAGGATGTCAAGCCTCCTCCTTCTTTGACTATAGACTCACAGCAAAATGAGAATTTAGAACAAGAGGAAGAACACCAGCTGGTGCGTGTTATGGAGAGGTCTCCTTCAACATCAGTGTCTTCAGTTGATATGAGAGTGATGATGTCTCCCTCTCCTGTACCAAGAAGAGAAGAGTTTTTTAGGCTGGAGGTTGGAGAACGCTTTAGACCCATGTGTGCTTATGACCCACAGATGTTACAAATGCTGAAAGAAGAGCATCAAATAATAATAGAAAATCAAAGAAAAATTGGTCTTTATGTCCAAGAAAAAAGGGATGGTTTGAAAAGAAAGCAGCAACTGGAAGAAGAACTGTTGCGAGCAAAAATCAAAGTAGAGAAGCTGAAGGCAATACGACTGCGCTGTGATCTGCCGGAATACAGCAATATCTGAATATTTTATTAGTTCTGTCATATTCTTTGAAATACTTAATAATACATTGTTTTGCCCTAGCAAAATTGTTCCTTACGCTAATATGGATGGATCAAAGTCTGGCCTTGAGAGATGAAAGCACATTTTCCGTGTTGTTTATGTACCTTATAAAAATACCTTCTATGGGTTTGAATGCACCAACTCTTCTAAAGTATAATCAAATCCTGTATATTTAAGTGTTTAGGTTGATAAAAATCCAAACGTTTAAAATATTTCCACTTAACTTCTATTGGAGTTGTGATGAGCTGATGGAAATTTAGCTTGGCTCTTGTTAAAAGTTTTGATCATTTGCATTATTTTTCAAATGAACACGTATCCTTTAATAACTTAATGAAGGTGCAGGTCAATAAATACATGCAAAAAGGAGAAATAAGAGGCTATGTTTAAATGTCTAATTCTTTTCAAGCTGGAAAATCTTATGGCAGTGGTGAGATTTTGCTGATAGATCATCTTGGAAGACAAAATTACTGGATTGTTATATTTTTTTAATGTTCAGTAGACAGTTGAATAAATGTGCATATTTCTAAAAGTTAATGCTTTCTATTGTTTCCAGTGGAGAAGTGTTTCCATAGGATGTTATCAAAATAGAGACAATGAATGCAACGCTTGGTTTTTAAAACTGCATGCATGTGTAATTTGTGTGTACAGTTGCCATGTTTGTATATTCAGTTATAATAATTATACTGGCGATCAACCACAAAAAAGTCTAATTTCCTCATTTGCATGCATAATTACTACAGTGCATGTGCAACCAAGACAGTTGCAGGTGCCTTTGATCAATATCACTATGACTGTAAGCTACTGAAATGAAACCGTTTCTGTATATAAGCTTCATGTGACTGGAAATCAACAGACGATTCTTTGTCATTCTCGGTACCTTTTGTAAATGCTGTTGTTCTGGTCTTTCGATTAGTTTCAAATAAAAAGCCCCAAATGAAAAAGAAATTGATTATTCTATCTGTCCTAGTAGCAGCTGTTTCTTCTGCAGTTACAATCAACGTTCGTAACCGGAAGAAAAATACCTGGAAAGCATAAGTCCCAAATGATTCATGTCTTCATAATTCTTAGTCTCCTGCCTGTTATGAATGAATCCACAACTGCCTTAGACCTCTGGCTCCTTATTCCCTCTAACAATACTTGCTCCTTCCTCTAACATTTAGCACAAGAAAAGGAAACGAAGCATAGCATCAAGAAAAAAGAGAGAACAAAGGAGATGTGATTCCTCCTATGCCTCCCACCTCAGAGGGCCCCAACTACAGAAAGGACAAAAGCAACAGGAAGGAGAATATTCCTTCCTGCAGCTGCTTGTAACTGTCACTCCTGTCACTACTACTTTCCCAAATTTGCTTCTTTCTCCATTCCCACAGAACCTCAGCATGTTAGCATGGGGCACCGGTCTGCGTGAGCAGACTCTGAGTGAGGTAAGCCTCGCACCTCCTTGTTGGCTTTCCTGAGTGAGTTGGGTTACCTTTGTAGCCATAGGGATAAATGCTTATTAAAAACTGAAGGCTGGAAGCACGTGAGTTTAATTGAGGGGCTAGTGGAGCTTAAAGAATTGTAGTTACAATTTCATGGTGGTGATGCAAGAGAAATAATGTTGACTGTCTGTGCCCAGGATAACAGGTTACAGGTGGAAAGCGTGGAAAAATACAGATGGTGAGAACACATGTTGGTATGGAGTTCCCCAGTACTTTTTCCAGTCGTTTTCTAGAGAAGAGAGTACTGTGTTCTGTTGGGAATTTTTGCGTGCGCTGAAAATTATGATGGTTGAGTAAATGGCCTGTGTTTCTGTACAGTCCTTGGCTTTCAACTGTATTTTTCAGTTCAAGGACATCGATCTGTTTTTGTGTAGCTGGAAGCACTTCAATGAGACACTCAATTCCTTGAGTTTACAACAGTCAAAATACTGGCTTTAATAAATAAATAAGGATTTTATTTGTTCTGCTTCTCAGAAACGGGAAATGGCACTAAATTCTCTCCACTCATCTTAATTTCGAAATACCTGATCTTGTCCTTTCAGTTGAAAATCAGAATTCTGATGTCCAGTAGTAAGAAATTAATTTCCATTTGTTGCCTCTGCCCTCACATATTATTCAAATGATTCAAGTTTTTAATAGCTCAGAAAATAATTCCCATATGGCTCATACTCTTGCAGTGGTTTTGAATTATAGCTACTCTTATGTTGGCCACCAAAATGCTCTAGAGACTTTAGAATATTTTCTGTTGAATTTTCCATTCTCCTTGAGCTAGAGGAGAGGTGACCTCCAGGTTTTCTGTTGGTGTGGTATTTTTATTTCAAGCACTAGAACCAGAGGAATTCCCAGTCTTTGAAAGCTTGCAGTCCTTTCTCAGCTGACAGGCAAATAGATGCAAAAACAGGACTCTGGGTAGAGCAAAGTCTCCCTTGTATTCTTGATATTGGAAGGGGAAGGCTGCAAGTGGGTAAAGAAAGAAAATACACTGGCCTGCTCAGAGCTTTCTCCCTACAATCAGCGTTCTTCCATATTTGGTTGTTTTGGCTTTATCTCATTTCTCAGTGGAAGGCCTTTTATTTTTACCTGCAGGCAGTACCTGTAGTTCAGACGTCTCGTGCTTCTTGCTTCCTTTGTACTTGCTTGTGTTTTCTGGGGGAGCTTGGGGTGGGAGGAGACATCCCTTAGAGTCCCTGTGGGAGCTGCTTGTTTCTTTCGTGGTGACATGACATTTATTTCCTTCCATTACAGAAATGTTTCCTCCTTCCGTGATGTTACCTTGCTCCATCAGTGCCGTGTGGTGCTGACTATGTTAACACCTCTTCATGCTGATGGTTCTGCATTTCTTTCTCACTCCACATCCGCTTTACAGTATCCGGTTATCTGTCTGAATCAGACTTCTCAACGTCTACAGTGCTTGTTACTGGTTTTTTTTGTTTTCTTTTTTTTTTCCTATGTATTCCTAATGTGGGTACATGCACCACAGCTGTGGTTAGTCCTTCTGGATCATGAAGTGCTATAAATTTTTACTATTCCAGCAATACTTTGTTAGCATGTGCTAACAAAGAGGTGGTAGAAACCCCTTCCCTCCTTTACCCCGTTCTTATCCTCTTCCTCCCTTCCCTACATCTGGCAGTGCCATTCCCTGTCTGCATGTTTCTAATGTGCATAGTACAAGCAGAGTAATTGTAGGCAATGACAAATTTCTACCATATGTTCATGACCTTTTATTAAAGTAACTGAAATAAACAGGCTCCGGGGGCAATTTAATTCCTACCGTCTAATGAGTTTACGTTTAGGATTAGAGTAAAAAACTGTGACTATGATAACTTTGTTGAAATTATGGTAACATCTTACAGAACTTCATCTATCTGAGTAATTGTCTAACGTCTATAATTTTGTTGGCTACTTCCTACTTACCTTGCTTTTTTGCTTCTCCCTGCTTGCCCCTGTAAGCTTTTGACTTGTGTGGAATCGTCTCAATGTGCTTGCCTTAGAGCAGAATTCTTACAGGTAAAAATGGTAGGAGAGAGAAGTACTCAAAGACTGGGAGATGCTATTTGTAGCTACTCTTACTTATCTCATACTCCTTTTTTCTAACATCTTCCATCTTGCTAGCTTCAATTACTTTGTTTCATTTATATTTCCACACATTGTCTGACTTGGAATATTTCCCCTCATATAGTGAAAATGCATGGACTAGAGCTGTCATACTATCTTCTTTTGGGCAGACTTTTTGTCCAGTGGATTTCCAGTAGGCAAAGCCATCAAGTTGCTTATAATTAAAAGAAAGTTGTTTCTAAGTGGGAGGAGCAAGTGAGGAGTTGTGATCCCTGGGCTGACTGATGAAGCTGTCTTTTAGAATTCCTTGTATCTTATTTTGAAGTGCTTTAGGATGGTTCCATATGAATTTTAACTTCAGTGGAACCGTAAAAAAGGGTTCTCTAGGTGATCCTGCTCAGGCAGGGAATTGGACGAGATGATCTTTCGAGGTCCCTTACAAACCCCCGACATTCTGTGATTCTGTGATGCTCATAAGATAAGAAAGTGGTGTTTTCTCAAGATGTTGATTACTTTTCTGGTTTGCACATGAAAATAAAGAGAAGGCTTTAAAAAGAATGCCTTTTAGCATTTTTCAAGGTCTTAAAATGTGTGAAATGTGGCTTCTCAGTGTGTATTCATAACAAGTCATGCTTTTATTCTGTTTTTAAACATCCAGGTCTTAAATCATTTGAGAAATCTCGTTGTCAAAGTCTTAGATTTAAAATAATAACATACAAAAAACAAGTACTGTTTACAGTAGTTCAAATAGTAGTCTGTTAGCTGGGTGCGTAACATGTGACTAAATTTCAGTCATTCTGTGACCTATGGTTCTGTGTTACATCTCTGCTAAAAATGAAGGCGCTCACCTTGACATCGGTTGCCTGCGCAGTGATAGTTGGTGTTAGGTGGCATCCAGCTTGTCTTGGCGAAAGTCCTCCCTAATAAAGATGCAATTTCCTGAAGTTTCACTGAATACTAACTAACCAAATTAGTTTCTCTGCATTCTTCCTTGTAAAACCTATCGCCGTTCGGTGCTAAAGCAGTTGAAAAACTCGCTTGTGATTTGTGGGCAAGAGGGGTTGGGTAAGGGTCAGAGAACCTAAGCTCAGCTGTCTGCGGGCAGCGGCATTCCCCGCTGTCCCTGCCTTTCTTCCATGCTGTGGGATTTTTGCAATGTTTTATCCTGGTGATTACACGGAATGATTTGTTGATGTATCCCAACATCTCGGAGTGAGCCTAACACCTTGTCTGACTCTGTAGGATTCACACTAGAAGGATATTGTATAATTTACATTGAATACTTAATCAGCAGTTACTCCACATGATTTATGACTTCTGTTTGCTCTTTAGCAAAATGGCAGACTTGAAAAATCCTACTTAATTTTTTGTATTTTATTTATGCAAATAGAATTTTAAAAAAATAAGTCATTGTTTCCCGGCCATTTACTTTTGGCTCTTGATTTTTGTCTATAGTTAGCATAATCACAGTAATTATCATAGTTTAACATAAATGTCAGCTAAAAAATAATTCCTCTGGATGTCAGAAGCCAGTTTGATTAAGGCTCAGTCATTTTGTTTACCATATTCTGCCATTTGGTATGTCTTTGTATGATCCTTGCCTATATTGCTAATG